TTTTGGGATCCCCCTTTTGCTGATGTCCCCCGCTGTCCCCTCAGGCTCGTCAGAGGCGGGGGGTGACCCCAAGGCCACCGACGTCCCCTCCGAGGGGGGCCCGGCCCCGCGCAGGCCCCGCAAGAAGAAATCGGTGTCGTGGCCCGAGGAGGGGCGGCTGCGCGAGTATTTCTACTTTGAGCTCGACGAGACCGAGCGAGGTGAGCCCAAAACCCCCGGAATTCACCCCAAATTCTCCCCCAGGATCCCCTCAGCCCCCCCAGGGATCTCTGCTGCGCTTTGGGAGCCATTTCAGGGCAGTTTTTGGGTGCCTTTTCTGTGGGAACCTCCTGGCGCCATTTTGGGGTCGTTCCCGGGGACATTTTGTGCCGTTTTGGGGTCGTTCCCGAGGACATTTTGTGCCGTTTTGGGGTCGTTCCTGGGGACATTTTGTGCCGTTTTGGGGAACGGTTCTGTGGGGACACATCGGGTGCCATTTTGAGAACGCTTTGGGCGCCATTTTGTGGCCACTTTGGTGCCATTTTGTGGATGTTTTTAACGCCATTTTGTGGGAATATTTGGGGTTTATTTTATGAATATTCTGGGAACAATCTGGATGCATTTTAGGGAAAGTTTGGGCACCATTTTCTGGCTACTTTGGGCGCCATTTTGTGTGGAGTTTGGGCACCATTTTGTGGCCACTTTGGGCACCATTTTGTGTGGAGTTTGGGCGCCATTTTGTGGCTACCTTGGCCGCCATTTTGTGTGGAGTTTAGGCACCATTTTGTGAACAATTTGAGCACCATTTTGTGGGCTCTGAGCACCATTTTGTGAACACTTCGAGCACCATTTTAAGAACACTTTGAGCACCATTTTATGGCCACTTTGGGCACCATTTTGAGAACACTCTGGGCACCATTTTGGGCACCATTTTGTGGCCATTTTGGGCACCATTTTGTAAGCATCTTTGGCCGCCATTTTGAGATCTCTTTGGCCGCCATTTTGAGAACACTTCCAACCCGGGGCAAACCAGAGCAGCCCAATCCCAGTATTTCTTTTCACCGACCCCAAATTTCCTCCCCTCCCTCCCAGTGAACGTGAACAAGATCAAGGACTTTGGCGAGGCGGCCAAGCGGGAGATGCTGAAGGACCGGCACGCCTTCGAGACGGCGCGGCGCCTCAGCCACGACTCCATGGAGGAGAAGGTGCCCTGGGCCTACCCCAAGGCCCTGGATCTGCCGGCGCCGCTCGTCATCCCCGGCAGCGGCAGCCGCGAGCGCTTCACGCAGGCCGAGCGCGTCAAGGGCATCCTGCAGGAGATCTTCCTCTCCAAGGAGAGGTGAGCGGGAATCCCGGCGGGATTTACCGGGAATTTGGGAACGGAAGGGGGTGGCAGATCCCGGATCTCAATCTGGAGCTGCTCGGGAGTGGGGGATATGCAGTGTTCTGAGCCCGACATGTCAGGGTTGCTGAGGGTGATTCGGCAGCCATTTTGAGGAGACTTGGGGCACCATTTTGTGAGGGCTTTGGGTGCCATTTTGTGAGGGCTTTGGGCGCCATTTTGTGAGGGCTTTGGGCGCCATTTTGTGAGGGCTTTGGGCGCCATTTTGTGAGGGCTTTGGGTGCCATTTTGTGTGAGCTTTGGGCGCCATTTTGTGAGGGCTTTGGGTGTCATTTTGTGTGGGCTTTGGGCGCCATTTTGTGAGGGCTTTGGGTGCCATTTTGTGAGGGCTTTGGGCGCCATTTTGTGAGGGCTTTGGGTGTCATTTTGTGAGGGCTTTGGGTGCCATTTTGTGAGGGCTTTGGGCGCCATTTTGTGTGGGCTTTGGGCGCCATTTTGTGAGGGCTTTGGGCGCCATTTTGTGAGGGCTTTGGGCGCCATTTTGTGAGGGCTTTGGGCGCCATTTTGTGTGGGCTTTGGGCCCCATTTTGTGAGGGCTTTGGGCGCCATTTTGTGAGGGCTTCAAGCGCCATTTTGTGAGGGCTTTGGGCGCCATTTTGTGAGGGCTTTGGGCACCAAACTTGGAGACACTTTAAGGGACGTTTTTGGGACACTTTGAGGGACATTTTGGGGACACCTCAAGGCTCTTTTTGGGACACTTTGGGAGCACATTGCAGGCCTTTTTGGAGGTCATTTTCGGAACGCTTTAAACGTCCCCTTTTGGGGGACCTTTTGGGTGCAGTTTTAGGAGCAGTTTGGGGACACATTGAGCACCATTTTGTGAGGAATTTGGGCACCATTTTGTGAGGCCTTTGGGCGCCATTTTGTGAGGAATTTGGGCACCATTTTGTGAGGGCTTTAGACACCATTTTGTGAGGAATTTGGGCACCGTTTTGGGGATGTTTTCAGCCTCTTTTTGGGGATGCCCAGAGCCTTTTTTTAGGAACGCTTTTGGTGCTATTTTGGGAATTATTTCAGTGACATCATAGGTGCCGTTTTTCGTCACTTTGAGCCTCTTTTTGGGGACCATTTTGGGCTCATTTTGGGGGACACCCAAAGCAGTGGAGAATCCAATATTTGTGGCACACAAAGAGCTGGAAAACCTAAACCTGGAGATAGATGTGGGCTAGGAACGTTTTTGGGGGGCCCCCAGATCCTTTGGGATCCCAGAAAAACCCAATTTTTTCCATCCCTTCAGCAT